GTGCTCCTGTGGGGCTGGTCGGTCACACGCTGCTGTCTGTGGGAGAAATGAGAGGGCGAGTTAGTGCTTAGTCTCATGGAGAAGTCTCCCAGATGGCAGGGCTTGCGTGGCTTATGTGGCCGCCGCCTGATGAGCTGCAGCTGTGACCGATCAGCCTGTGATGAGGACGGCCAGGTGTTCCTCGCTTGTTTCCAGGGCGACGCTGATGCAGCTTCGGGACGCTCGTCACAAATGGCAGTGAATTGGTGTTACTTTTCAATAGTCCAAAAGAAGTCCAATAAAGTGCATCCATCCATCATAAAAAGTGCCTCTCAAAGCTCCGTGTGTGAATAAAGGCCTCCTGAAGCGAATCAATGCGTTTGTATAAAAAAAATATCCATATTTAAAACTTTATAAACCGTAATCTCTAGCTTCCGCTGTCGGAGAAAGCAAAACAAAACACTGGTCAGGAATTAGAAGCACAAAATGAAGATTTGTAAAGACAAATGTGGGAGGATTCCGATATAAGCTGAGAGAAGACTGGTTTTCCTTTGCTAAAGTAAGGAAAGTTAGCTTCCTTTGCTCCTGTAAACAAACGCCGGTTCTCGCGAGACTAGCATACGCTCAACGGATCTTACAGTTAGCGGAAGCTAGAGATTACGGTTTGTAAAGTTTTAAATATGGATATGTTTCTTACACAAACGCATCGATTTGCTTCAGGAGGCCTTTATCCACCCCCTGGAGCCGTGTGAGGCACTTTTTATGATGGATGGATGCGATTTATTGGACTTCTTTTGGACTATTGAAAAATAACACAGATTCACTGCCATTATAAAGCTTGGAAGAGCCAGGACGTTTTTTAATATAACTCCAATTGTGTTCGTCTGAAAGAAGAAAGTCATATACACCTAGGATGGCTTGAGGGTGAGTAAATCATGGGGTCATTTTCATTTTTGTGTGAACTATGCCTTTAAGGCCTTAACAACTCTGCAATCAGGGCAGAAAGTCTTAAATGTAGTGTCATAAATCCTGCAGAAACCCGATTCTGGTGATGTTGTGTTCATTCAGGCTGATTATTATTTCAGGTGTTGTGACTGCTGTTGTTTTTTTTGCTGGTTGCTGACAGCAGTTGTTTTCCGCATTTATAATTCTGGGTCGGACACATTATTCCGCATGTGGAGCGCTGGACGTTTGCCAGCCGTCTGTGCAGATTATGTTCATGAGCGCTGACTGGATGTGCTCAGACCGGACTTTAGCTTCTGGTGCCGTCGCTTCAGACTGTGAGAATATCACCAACGTTAGAAAGCTGCTTCTGACTGTTTCCACTGAGATGAACCACTGGCTGCTGGACTGTAACTCCGTAATCCCACAATGCCATGCGTTAGCAGCGTTTTCTCTTGATTTTATGGAATAGTTCACCCCAAAATGGAAATTAGCTGAAAATGTGCTCACTCTCAGTTCATCTGAGATCAGGATGAGTTTGTTTCTTCATCAGATTTGGAGAAATGTAGCATTGCATCAGTGTCTCACTGCAAGTGAATGGGTGCCGTCAGAATGAGAGTCCAAACAGCTGATAAAAACATCACAATAATCCACAAGTAATCCACAGCACTCCAGTCCATCAGTTAACATCTGGAGAAGACAAAAGCTGAAACACATCCAGCATTAAGACGTTTTTAACTAAAATCCATATGGAGTCCATAATCCATAATAACGCTTCCTCCAGTGAAAAAGTGTTCTGGTGTGAATCAGGAGAGAAATCTGCACAGATCAAGCAGCGTTTAAACAGCTCTAAACACATATGTGGCTGGATTTTGATGTGAGAAACAGCAGATGTACTTTTTCACTGGAGGAAGCGTTATTATGGATTATGGACTCCATATGGATTTTAGTTAAAAACGTCTTAATGCTGGATTTGTTTCAGCTTTTGTCTTCTCCAGATGTTAAAGAGGTCATCGGATGCCCATTTGATATAAGTTGATATGATTCTTTAGGGTCTTAATGAAAAGTCTATAACATACTTTAGTTACAATTTCTCAATGGTAGTGTAAAAACACCCTTTTTAACCCTGTCAAAATCAGCTCTGTTTTCAGCACGCCGTTCTAGTCCATGTTGCTTTATATGCTAATGAGCTCTGCTGGCCCCGCCCCTCTCTTCTGTGGGGTGACGAGCAGACAGTAAACTTCAGCGGCGAAACTTGCTAACTAGCACATTATTAGGAAAGGCGATTTGCAAAGATTCATAATAAACGTTATACTCACTTCTTGTGTAGATGAAGCTGGATCACGAATGATTCGCACGAACATAGACGCATTTATGTAGATCGGGGATCGGCGCATTCCATTATAGGATGGATGTGTACACACACACTTCCAACACACATTTATGTTCAAACAACAACAAAAGTGAATATTGTATCCGATGACCCCTTTAACTGATGGACTGGAGTGCTGTGGATTATTGTGATGTTGAGCATCTCTTATAAAACTGAAGTGTACTGACTGTTTAACTCTCAGAGGATACTGTTCATGAAAGCTGTAGTGTGTGGTGAGCAGCGCCCTCTGCTGGTGATGAACCGCTGATGCAGCGTAAACCCCATTCATGTCTTTGGCCTGAGAACAATAAATATAGATCATCGATGAATTGTCTATATTTGAACCTTTGTGTCTCTGTGCTCTGACAGCCGGTGAGGCGTCAGTCGCTGTCCGCTCCGTCTCCGAACACTATCTCCTGGGAGGAGTACATCACCGCCGAGACGGGAAAGTACGTCAAACCTCCATCATATACTCAAACACACGGTGAGAGGAGCTGCTGGAGGCTCATGTCCTGTGTTTGCTCTCTTCTAGGGCTCCTCATCTGGGCCGAGAGCTCGTGTGCAAAGAGAGCAAGAAGAACTTCAAAGCAACTGTAGCCATGAGTCAGGACTTTCCTCTGAGCATCGAGTCGTAAGTGTCCCGCGCTCAGCAGACTCCTGGCGACGTCCATGTGGTGTTTGATGCTGATCACATCTCGTCTGACTTGTTTTACAGGCTGTTAAATGTTTTGGAGGTCATCGCACCCTTCAAGCACTTTAATAAACTCAGAGAATTTGTTCAGATGAAACTTCCGCCTGGATTTCCTGTCAAATTAGGTAAACAGACACACTTTCAGCACGACCCATAAGACTTTGGTTCATCTTTGAAAAAAAAAAAAAATCACATTTTTTAATGAAACTTGAGAGGCTTCTATCCCTACATTGAAAGGTAACCAAGACTTAGAAGATCCGAAAATGTTATAAATGCCTCATAAAAGTGAATGATATGAGAGTGACTAAATGATCATTTTTGGGTGAATGATCCCTTTAATGTTAACTACTGTTAACTACCGTAACTACTGACTAGTAAAAGCAGTTTTTGTATTTTCTGCAAGTTGGAAACTTTATTTCAAAAATGATTTATTAATCTCAGCACTTAAACAATAGTTAATACATTAGTGAACATGAAATAACAATTATAATTATATTTTTACAGCATTTTTAATTCTTTGTTAATGTTAATAAAAATAACTGTTCGTGTTAATTCACAGCGCATGGACTGATATTAGCATATAGTGATACAATAACTTCACTGTAAACTATTACGCTGTAAAAAAAAAAACAATGTAAACTATTAACCTGTAAAAATACACTCTAAATTAATAAACGGTAAAAATACACTGTAAACAAATACACTGTAAACTAATAAACTGTAAACTAATACACAGTAAACATATAAACTGTAAAATGCACTGTAAACAAAACAGTGTAAACTATTAACCTGTAAAAATACACTCTAAATTAATACACGGTAAAAATACACTGTAAACGAATACACTGTAAAAATGCACTGTAAACAACGAATACACTGTAAACTAGTAAACAAATACACTGTAAATAAATACACAGTAAACGAATAAACTGTAAACGAATAAACTGTAAACAACAAATACACTGTAAACTAATAAACTAAACAACAAATACACTGTAAACTAATAAACGGTAAAAAAATACACTGTAAATAAATACACAGTAAACGAATAAACTGTAAATAAATACACTGTAAACGAATACACTGTAAACAAATACACTGTAAACAAATACATGGTCAAAATAAACTGTAAACAAATAACCTGTAAAAATACACTGTAAACAAATAAACTAAACAACAAATACACTGTAAACTAATAAACGGTAAACAAATACACTGTAAATAAATACACTGTAAACGAATACACTGTAAACAAATACACTGTAAACAAATACATGGTCAAAATAAACTGTAAACAAATAACCTGTAAAAATACACTGTAAACAAATACACTGTAAACAAACCAACTGTAAACTAATACACTGTAAACAAATAAACTAAACAATAAATACACTGTAAACTAATACACTGTAAACAAATACACTGTAAACGAATACATGGTCAAAATAAACTGTAAACAAATAACCTGTAAAAATACACTGTAAACTAATGTAATTAATATTAACAAAACAACTCTTAATGTAAATCTCCGCTTGATCATTGTGATGCCCAAATAACTAAAATGGCAGTTTGATTAGTTTTATTATAGTTGATGTTGCCTGAAGCGCTTGTTTTGTTCTTCAGGATTTTGTAAAATAATGTGAAGATGATTTAATGCAGTGATGACACATTTGGCCAAAAAGACGAATATTTATTCATTTGGAGACTGAATAGTTGTTGTCCTATGATTCGAGTGTGGCGTGTTCTGATGATGATGTTGATGTGCTTCTCTTCCAGACATCCCTGTTTTCCCCACCATCACTGCCACCGTGACCTTTCAGGAGTTCCGCTACGACGAGTTCGACGACTCCATTTTTACGATTCCCAACGACTACAAGGAGGATCCCAGCCGCTTCCCAGACCTCTGAGCCCATCTCCATCTCCTCCCATCCACATCAGCAGACGGAGAGGTGTAGGAAACACTCGATGTCATGTGGACACAGAGGGATCGTGCTGAAGTGAGTGAACCACTACATGATGAAGCTCTGGACTGAGCTCCTCACCAGAAACACGGAGCGCCGCTGCACATCTCCTCTGTTACTGGCAGGAATACGGCATTATAAATTATTACACAAGCCACGTTTTCATATATATCTTTGTTACAAACTTACATACTTCACTTAAAGGAAACGTGCATATTTAGGAAAGAAGTGGATGGCGATTGTATATGATTGGAAACCGGTCACAGAAAGCAATGTATATGTCATTTCTACAGACTTTCTTTGTGTAAATACCACTTCCTTCTCCAGTTCTTTTGCTTGTTGCATTATGGGAAATGGGCTTGTTCACTCTGTCCTTCACTGTGCTTTTGTTCGGATCGTTTGCTTTCTAGCGTTTATGGACCGGATGTAAATGTAGAAGAAATGTTTCACTTTATTTTCACCTTGATAGATGGATGTAAATACATTCGGATTTAAAGATGTTTTCCAATGTAGTATAACTGACATGCATAACTGACGATATTGAGATATTAGTGTAAAATGTTACGGCGGCGAGTGTTTTATATGTGTGTTTGCACCAGCAATATCCCATTGGACAGTTTCCACTTTTATGTCTCTTGTGTTTGGTTTTTCCTTCTCCGAATGGAAACGAGCTGCAACGCTTCCACGACCCACTACTGGCTAGTGTGGAAACTCGCTGTATTGCTTTTTTATTTTTGTTACCAGCTTCTTCTTCCTGTGTTTAATGACGTTAGAGTTGCTTTATGCCTTCAATACTCTTCAGATTTTCTCCCAGATGCATTGAGCTCCCGGATGTTCAGCAGGAACCTTGTATGAACCTGCTGCACTTTTACATGACAAATTGTAATTAATAAAATGTCCACGTATCAGTCTCTTGTGGGGATTTGTTTTGGTCCAATGGTCTTTATTAGCATGCATGATATTCTAAAGGGTGCAAACTCATGAGGGGTGAAGGAGTAGTTCACTTCCAGAATAAAAATCTGATGATTTACTCACCTCAATGACATCTGAGATGTCTTCAGTCGCAAAGAAATGAAGGTTTTTGAGGAAAAGGTTCCAGGATTTTTCTCCATATAATGGACTTCAATGGAGACCAACTGTAGATCAAACCAGTTTCAGAGCAGCTTCAAAGAGCTCTACAGGATCCCAGCCGAGGAATAAGAGTCTCATCTAGAGAAAGTCTTATCTAGAAGTCTTCTCTAGATTTTTATTCTGGAAGTGAACTACTCCTTTAAAGTTTTTATATGTTTAACGGGTGAAAAAAGTACAGAGAAATGTGTACCGTGTCAAACTTTTACTTAGTTAAAATGTCCTGGAGTGAACTTAAGAGCAATAGACTTGTTCGGCATTGCTGGGAACGCCCACAAAAACGTCATAACCGTTTATGCTGTAGGGGAAAACAAACCGTTCGAATTAACGCGCGGAGACCTTGTTAAGTATAGTAGGCTTTTTTTTGGCGTTTTTATTACCAATTGTAGCCTATAACCACAGTTTTACTACAAATACCATGGTTGAACTATTAGTGTAGCAAAACATGTTGTTTTTACCATGGTTTAACTATAGTAACAAATAACCATGTTTTTTGGTATTTTATATACATATTTTATATTTATATACATACAGCTATGACGCGACACCGATCAAGTCTATTATATGTGGATATTTTAAGTATTTAAAAGTAAACATTTCTGTTTTAAAAATCGACTGGTTTGTCAACTTTGATTTTCTCAGTGTCCTGACTGTTCAATTCTACAAACCAATATCAGAAAAGCAGTTACCAGTAACTAGCAGGAACTAAAATAAATAAGAATGAATGTGCTCGAGGCACGGCACAACTCTTCTTATTTCGCGGCTTTCTGGAATACTTGATTCTGATTGGTCAGTCGCGGAGTTAAGCGGGAAAATATTTTCAAATATTCACGTCGTCAATAGCAAGGACTTCAAACCGATGATCTCGCGCCTCACACCAACCGTCGCCTCAGAGGATTGAGTATTAATATTAATTTAATATTTTAGCAGTGCCGATTGTTTTGTATATTGTATCCAGCGACTACTAAATTGTCTCTAGCAATAATTTCAAATAAGATCAATCAATTAAATATGTGTATGTAAGCACTGTTGTTGTAATTTCGACGCATCTGAAATCGGTCACACCATTGATATTACCTGAGAAGTTAAAGAAATACGCTAGAAAACTGCGTTTAAACACACGAGCACAGTTCAGCTGAATGAGAAAGTTTATCCTCTTTAACTTGATGTTGTTCTGCTGTTTTGTGTTCATCTGCTCTTTTTACATTGACTATCACTCTATATAGACTCATACAATCAGATACAACAATCATTTCTCAAATATTTATACTGATAAACTGAAGATTCACTGGACCTGTGACATGATCCTAACAATATCAGACTGATCAATTATCTCTAGCAATCATTTTGATCAATCAATTAAGTGTCTGTAATCTGCTGTTATTCCCCATCAATGCCACAATCAAACCTACACTCTTGTTAATGGACTATTTTGTCCTCACCTGAAGCTTTAAGGTAATATACAGATACAAGTATAACAATTTAAACCCAAATCAATATTTAACATGCATTTGTTTAGTGAGTAGTTGTGTAATAAGACGCGTACAGTCAGTAGTTATCTCAAAATAGGCTCTTAATAAATTTTAAATACCACTGATTTTTACATTTAAATCCCACTAAATACAACATCTACAAAAAATAGATTAAAAAAAAACATTTAAATACATAGCTCTGCTGTAGAGTCAAGTTAATGTAAAGAATTAGCGTTTCTGCATTCGAATTACGGCCCGTTCACACCAAGGACAATAACTAGCCATTTCGATAAAGATATCGTTTTTAAAATCATTATAAATTTAAAAGAATAGTAAAGTCCACACCACAGGAGAACGATATCATTAAAATCAAAGCGATTTCTTCCAGCCAACGAACGATAAAAACAGACAGCCAATCAGAATCCATCCTCGAGCATTTAACGCGACAAACGACATTATAATAAACGTTATCATGCGTTGGTGTGGACGCTAACATAGTTATCGCTGACAGTGTGAACGAATCTTTAATCTTGTGTTAATGTGTAAACAGCCTTGCCTCAATTTCACGCGCAAAAAAACTGGCTTAAGAATTGATGCCGTTTAGAATATTTGCATTCAATTACCGCAAAAATTTAATGAAATGATCCAAATATATTTTTTGCTCTACAAACTGGACACATTTTGGACAAATGTGATTTAGTGCTTCACAACCCTCCTGAACCCTCCTTTGTTCTGAAGGAACAAATAGACTAGAATTTTATATGAAGTTTTATTTTCAATTCGTAACATTGCAAACAGTACAGAGAAATCCTTTTCTTAGCAATCTACAGAAAAACACACTGTGGTAGATACAGCTGGACTGTCGAATGACCTGCGAGAGAAAGTAATCCAGTTCATGTGGAGTTCCACAAACGAGTTTAAAATGACAAACTAACTCAGGCCAACTATAAAAAACAAATGCAATTTCATTAAAAGAAAGAAAAAAAAACACGGCTTGACAATGTTATCCAAGCACTTTTAATTAGAGGGTGATTGCTTTAAATAGAAACTGCAAACAGACAGTGAATGGGTGTATTTTTCAACGGTCTACACTAAATGTACAGTATAACATCGTTCCACATCAGCCATGAGAGAAGAAACCGCTCTAAAACCGGAGAACTTCTTAAGACGAGCGTGTACCAGTAAATACAGCAGATTCTAAGGATGCGGTTTTAAAACTCGAAGGAATGAAGGAGTTTCAGACTGATCTAGAGCGAGCTTTCCTCCGTCTGAACAATACACTCAAACACTGATCCGTGGGCTGCTTCAGTCGCTCATGTCCATGTCTTCGTCTTGCTGGTCTTCACTGTTTCCGTCCGACTCTCCGCGACCCGCGTCGTCTGCGCTGTCTGCTAGTGGCTCTTTAGCCTGCGGCGACGAGGCGGCGTCTGAGTTCCTCTCGCGCTCTTCCTCGTGCTCGCTGTCGTAGCCCTGCTCCTCTTCATCGTAGTCCCTGGTCACCTGCAGAACAGAACCACAGAACTCAGAAGCCGGACTAGAACGTAAAGCGCAGCTGTTGACTGGTTAGACAGTGGTACCTTCACATCTCCCTTCTCGCTGTCGGACTTCCGGTCTCTGTCCTTGTCTTTGTCTTTGTCCTTGCTCTTCTTGCTGGCGGAACGTTCACTTTTGTCCCGATTTCTCTCCCAGTCGTCCTTCCTGTCTCGGTCGCGGTCTCTCTCGCGGTCTTTATCCTTCTTTTTCTCTTTCTTGTGTCTGAGAGAGAGAGTTTTCAGGTGAAAGCAGGTCTGAGGAAGGAGGCGTGATCGTGTAGGAGCGAGAGTGTGTGAGAGAGCGAGAGAGTGTGTGTGAGAGAGAGAGTGTGTGTGTGTGTGAGAGAGTGTGTGAGTGTGTGTAAGAGTGTGTGAGTGTGAGTGTGTGTAAGAGTGTGTGAGTGTGAGAGAGAGAGTGTTAGTGTGTGTGTGTGAGAGGGCGAGAGTGTGTGTGTGTGTGTGTGTGAGAGAGAGTGTGTGTGAGTGAGAGTGAGAGAGAGCGAGCGAGAGTGTGTGTTAGGGTTGTGACGGTGAGGAAGTTTTCCCACCGGTTAATTGACGTGTGACAACACCGGTAATACTGGTATCACCGTTGGGATGGGGGGAGTGTTAGTTCGTTTGAGTTTCCCTCTATTCTTCACTTTCAAATGGCTTGTAAAAGTGCCGTGCGCATTTTACTTTCACTTTCAAAGTGACGCAATTCACCGTCAAGCAACTGTTCATTTGAGTTTTCGGCGTTGATTCAATTCAAGCAACAACAACGTCAAACTCAGAACTTTTATCAACAAAACGAATAAAAATACACAATATATGCCTAATAAAATAACAAATTACTTAGGCTACACAAAGTTTAAATAGGTATATAAAACTGAAAATCAGCAAACACTGTGGAACCAAATAAATAAGAAACATAGAACGTTTATTAGAAAAACGAACAAGAAAGCTTGGAGACACGGCATATACACCTTGATGTTAAATAAAATAAATAAAATACACAAAGTTTAAATAAAGTAATCAGCAAACACTGTGGAACCAAATAAATAAGAAACGAATGTTTAAAAAAAAAACTTTCAGTCAATAGGCTTTTCAAAATCTAAAATATTGCCAAACAGGCGCCTTTGCATTTCCTTTCTAAACAATCTTCTGGCATCGTCTTGTCTTTCTCACCTCGCTCTTGTCAGTCAGCTCGACTCGCTCTCCTCACGTGATAAATAAAATCTGACTCCTGCTCCGTGGTGCACTGTCGTTCACGCACTGTTCGACACGCTGCGTTGAGTGTTTAGTTTTTAAAAGTGTCTGTCCTCTAACCGAACTTGGCTAAATGATCTTCTAAACTATGGTGGGGGGCGGTGCCGCGGTGGGCAAATGACGTAACCGGTGTTGCGGCTTAACACCGGTATAACCGAAAACACTGTCTATCGCAGCAAGCCTAACAGCTTCCCCAAAATTTTGAGGTGAAAATGGGAGGAGGACGATTTAATGTTAATAAAA